CCTAGCCAGCTCCTCTCTCATTAGTGCATTTATATGCCGCTGCCCCCCAAATAGGGCAGACAACCACTCTATCGTAATTCCTATTTGAGCTAACGCTTCTTTGAAAGACTTGGGTGCCTGGCATTCAGCCACTGGAGACTGATTACAAGTGTGTGAAATGAAGTGCCTTGGGTAAGCAGAAAGACGTGAAAAATGATTGAAACGGCTATTGCTCGAAGGGTTCAGGGGATCTCGTAGTCGGGCACTCTCGACTAGAGCTTTCTTACTTGTTGGCATTGGCATTATCACCTTTCGAGTGAAATCAGGTGGTATTTGAAGCCCGTTCTCCATAAATACGTTTTCAGCGTTTTCTTGGATGGGAAAATCAAGTAGATTAGATTATCATACCTACCAGAACATCCAAATACTATTGGAGAGGAATTAAATATGAAAGAAACCATAGCTTGGCAATATGGGCAGTACTTATGGGATCATTGCCCAGATAATACCATAAATGGAAGAATTTACTAATATTTTTATTTAAAACTTCGATTTTTATCGATTTTTTATTTTTGTTGTTTTCATATCTAAAACCATTGCGCTTTTAGTTTTTGTTAATATAGAAAACAAAAACGTGTATAATGTTAATATTTATGGGGTTATTCATTAAAAAATAAAATTTTTTCAATAGCACCTACAGTACATGTTTTTCTTACATAATTTTTTCTTGTACGCCTATATATCTTGGAAAGTGTATTTGTAATCGTTATTAGTGCGTTATAGTAGTTCTTCGGTGTGTGCGACAGTGCTGCCGTTTTTCCCCGATAAAAAATAGCTAAATCAGAACCAAAAATAAGCTAAGTCCCAGAAACAATTAGCTGAAAAATAAGCTAATATTTTGGAATTGTTTTTTTTTTAATTTGTAATAGATACATGCACATACAAATATTGTAACAAACATTTGATATTCATGAAAAACAAAACGAAAATAATAGAAAATTTAACATTATAAATTTTAAATGTTTACATTGATGATAAATCTGCTAATTGATAGTCTACAGACTGGTCTCATAATTTAAATATTCCTTGGTTGCGATCGATTTGAGGCAGTTTAGAAAAACTCTGTAATCAAAGCATCATCGGTTATCTCGACTCAATTCGGATGTACATTTTTAAAAATATTAGTTTCTGTTTTAATGAGACTGTAATTCTTTAAACCTTTACCTTACGGTTGATATTGAGTTTATCGTATCAATCCTATTTCTTATTTAATATTTTATTAAATTGACTTGTCTAAAGACCCTTCAACTTCGGTATTCCACGAAGGTAACGAATGTATGCGAAACGCAACAGCAAATCTATCTAGCTAGGTACACACGATGCAAACAATTTGCAGCAAGTTAAAAATAATTTGCAGCAAAAGTTTGCACAAATGTTCACTCCAATATTGCATGCAAATTACGTGTTTTAATTTTTTGTTTTTGTTTGCATTGCTTGCAAGCGACACTCATTTGCAAGTTCTGTTGTTTTGAAAAAGTCAAGGAATAACGACGTGTTTATATTATGTCGGCACAAAAATCGAGAGTTGCTCCTGTTGCTATATTAGCAATTTTGATAAAACAAAAAAAATGAGAAGATCAATGTCTGCCAAAAAACAAGTAAGAACGTTGCAGTCGGGCGTTACCGACTGCGGAATACTCATTCACATCCCATAAACAATTCAGTAGTTAAGTTTCGCTCTAATACAAGTTTTTCCGATTTGCCACGCCCCAACTGGGCGTAGACACCTCATTTTTGGTCAGTTTTTAGAACGTGATAACGGTACCCTAACTGCAAAGTTTGAAGGCTTACTCTCAAAAAAAGTGAAAATTACAGGGTATTTTTCGATATGCCACGCCCCTAAAGAGGCGTAAAAATTATTTTTTGGGGAATCGATAGAGGAGGCTACCAGTAACTCAACTATCCAAATTTAAAGCTTCTAGCTGTTATACTTTAGGAGATATAAACTTTTGCGATTTGCCACGCCCCCTGTGGGCGGACATATATCCGACAAAACTTTTTGGTCTTGGGTGATCAGTCCGAGTATATATACAAAATTTGAGGTCTCTGCCATCAATAGTGTCCAAAATATAGGAGAATTTAAAAAATCACTATATCTTCAGGTCCGATTTGCCACGCTCCCAATGGGCATAGACTTATAATTTTATCTTTAGACTTTATAGAGTCATACCATTAGCTGACGTGCAAAATTTCAGCATTCTAGGCTTACAACTTTAGGAGATACAGTTTTATCCGATTTGCCACGCCCCCAATGGGCGTAGATATATCCGCCATAGCTCGTGATCTTGGGTGGTCAACGCGGACCTACGTACCAAATTTAAGCTTTCTAGCTCTTTAACTAACATGATTTCTGGTATATCGGAAAATGTATTTTCCGATTTGCCACGCCCCTAGTGGGCGGATCGGGAAAATTTTAACACTTTATAAATCGTAGATATACACTAGTATGTGTTCCAAATTTCTCTAGCTTCAATAGCGCCGAAATAGATTGCGTTCATACGGACAGACGGACGGACGGATAGCAAGACGGACATCGCACAAAACCAATATGCTGATTCACTTTCGTGAATGAGTATAAAAAAAAGTGTTCGGTGAAAGAGTGGATTTCTAAAAGAGATGAAAAAGGAGTGCATCAGAACCTTTTAAAAGAGCTACAATATGGCGATGAAACAAACTATTACAATTTTTTCGCATGTCAGTCAGTGATTTCAATTTTTTATTAGAAAAAGTAAATTTTTTCAGCAATTTCGCGATAAGCTTGCTTTTTATACCCTGAACCCTTTTTAATGGGAAATCAGGGTATAATGGTTTTGTTAAATGTATGCAACAGGCAGAAGGAGGCGTGGCAGACCCCATAAAGTATATATATTCTTGATCAGGGCGACGAGCTGAATCGATTTGGCCCTGTCCGTCTGTCCGTATGTGTGAACGCGTTGATCTCAGAAGATATAAGAGCTAAGGACTTCAATTTTTTTTTTTAAATGTCCGAATTTACAGCGCGGATATCGAGTTTATTATTAAAAATTGATAACTTATCCCGATCTTTTTTATCGATACAAAACCTTATCGAAAATCCGTTATAAAATTATGCCTCCTACATCTTTGGAGCCACAGTCTCGGTTTTTGTCAAAATTTACCCCCACCCCTAATTTACCCCCTCACCATCACATTTGTAAAAGGCGTATTTCAAAGACTAGGGACTTGTGCTTTGGCAAATACATGCATATCTATGTTATATTCATAATCAAGTTTCATGAAGATAGTCCATCCACAAGAAAAGTTATTAAACAATTAAGTTCCCATAGAGACCCAACACGGCAGCCTATGCGTGTTTATGAGTGCCTACGTATGTCTTTGTGTGTGCGTGTATATATGCATATGCGAATAATTATTGAAATATCAGCTGCTCGAAGGGTTCAGGGGATCTCGTAGTCGAGCAGTCTCGACTAGAGCTTTCTTACTTGTTTATAATTTGATTTAAAAATACCCATTAAACAGTTAAACATTGAAAAAAATGATCTAAATTAAACAAAAACTTTTTATTTCTGTAATTAAAGTAAAACAAGTAAGAAGGCTCTAGTCGAGACTTCTCGACTAGGAGATACCCTGAACCCTCTAAGCTGATATTCTACTCATTCTGCGCTTCTTTTATGTACACATACATACACATGCACACGTCACGCGCTCTGTTAATTGCACAGTTAACAGCGATAGCGCTTGGTCTGCGATGAAGTGTGGGCAATGTTATGAGAATTTAATTGTTGAATAATTTCTTTTGTAGACATACAATCTGAATGAATCAAAGCGTAGGACAAATAGCGCATAGCTGTGCTTCATATAAGAATGAGACCATTTCATTTGAGCGCTTGCAGCGCTCTAACTTTGTCGTGCAATAATTTCACTGCTCGAACCTCCAGCGACCGAGCCGAGCAAATACGAAGTATAGTGGTCGACCAACTTAACATTTTCTGCTGTAGAAAAGTTTGTTCTACATGTCTAGTCTATGTGTTCTCTGGTTGTATAAATCAACATATATGAACTAGTGATCATTTTAGTAGTTCTAATTTAATTGTTTAATGTTTATCGATTCTTGCTTTCACGTGTTAGCTCAATGAACATTTGAAACAATGAACCAGTATTTATACTCTGAAGTTCTTTTGTATTGTAGTAAACTTTTATCGATAAATATGTATGTACATATGTATTTACATAACGATTGCATTAATTAACAAAAAATAAAAATAATAAATTAACCAAAAATAGTTGATTAATTACTTAATGCTTAAGGCTCATAGGTGTATTTGTGTGTCAGCAAAAAGTAATCACTAAGTGATTCGTGACTATTTATATATATATATACATACATATGTATATATACATATATGCGAAACAATTTATTTATGTATGTATGTACATATCTTTACTTTTACACGTATATTATGTAAAATGAAAGAAAATGCACGTCAGTTCTTATCAATTGTTGTTTTATTTATTTATTTATTTATTTTTTGTTATCGTGGTTGTGTATTGGGGCCTAGCTCGTAATTCTGCATTGTTGGGCCTGATAAATCGTCTATTCCATTTTCCTCGACATTTTCATCCAAGTGCTCTTTCAGGCGAACAATAATTACAAAAAAAAGTTAGTCTATACTGTGTGTGCGGGAGAGTGAGTATGGATAAACTGATCAAGTAGCAAGAGTTTATCTTATGTTAAATAATATATCATCTGGATCGTAAGACTTCATTACATGTTATGCCACTTTGCAGACATTCCCTGATTACAAGCTGTCAATTTAAGCTAAACTGATGATGAGCTGCGAAACTTTGCGAGGTATGCTAGTCAAAAAAAGTAATGTTAAAAAGTTCTGAAGAATAACAAAATTATGTATGTGTATATAATTAGGCTAAGTTTTTAATTTAGTTCATTATATTAACGCATATTCCGAAACTTCATTTTTCAGATCCGAAATCATGCAATGCCATTTTGAACCCCGATCAGCCAGACGAAATGAAAGTCAGTGGATATCGACGCTCGCATATTCGTACATTTTTATGCTGGATATGCATCATCCTAACTGGTGGAATACTAAGGCTAGTATTGCATTGGTGGCGTCATTGGTATTTGCTAGCCACATGCCAGCCGTGTCCGTTGGAGGATGCACAACAAGTACTTATCGAAGAGGACTATAAGGGAAATCACAAGGTTTATCATGTTAAACATGTTCACACATTGGATATAGGACAACTCAAGTAGGTATTTACTTTAAGTATTCCTCTTGTTTTGTAATTAAAGTTTTTTTTTCAATTGCAGAAAATTGCTCCAGAAAATGGGGGAGGAAGTTGATGAAAAGAAACTTCACCTGCCAGTTCACATATCTTCAGCGCATTTTAAAGGTACATGAAATGAAAGAAAACTCTTGTAAAATGGTATCTATTTAAGCATATGGGCACACGGTTTACAAAGTACATGTTTTATATTTGGGTTTGAAAGAGAAGAAATATCGTAAATCGAAAAATTTCAATGGGCAACTAAATGCGACTGGCAAAATAGTAGTTCGTCACTGTAAAATGCAAATACATTTCAATACTAATGTATCGGTACCTACTAGTTCTTGAGAAAACGATACTACCAACAAGTGTGCATTTCGTTTTTCTTCTAGGCTGCAGATCTTTAAGAACATTCCGATGCAAGCAGCTCGTTTATGTGTGGGAAAGCAGCGCCAACAACTTTCAAAAGATCAACGGATTGGACGTAAATGTACCTTGCTCTTATTACCATCAGCAACGTGGCCTAACTACGCAAGAGCAGCTCGCACGCCGTATTGTATTTGGTGATAATGAAATAACAGTGCCCCTGAAAGATGTGAAGACTTTGCTATTTCTAGAAGCTCTCAATCCTTTTTATGTGTTTCAAATATTTTCGGTTGTCCTTTGGTTTACATATGACTATTACTACTATGCTTGCGTAATCTTATTAATGTCAATATTTGGCATATCAATGTCTATTTTACAAACGAAGAAGGTAATATAAAAATTTTAATAAATACAACATTTTAATAATCACTTTATCAACTGTAAAATCTAATTCTAGAATCAAGATGATTTGCAACAAACAGTTCTGAATACGGGAAATGCATGGATGGTCAACGCCAAAGGAGAATCGATAGAAGTGGATACGAAACTGCTAGTGCCTGGTGATATTATTGAAATACCATCATCCGGTTGCACAATGCAATGTGACGCTGTATTATTATCCGGCAACTGTATCCTAGACGAATCAATGCTAACTGGAGAGAGTGTACCAGTTACTAAAACACCACTTCCGATAAAGCGAGATGTTATATTTGATAAAAAAGAACATGCACGTCACACTCTATTTTGTGGCACTAAAGTTATACAAACTCGGTATATTGGGTCGAAAAAGGTGCTAGCTTTTGTTATAAATACAGGAAACATAACGGCAAAAGGAGGATTAATACGCTCTATACTCTATCCACCACCTGTAGACTATAAGTTTGAACAGGATTCGTACAAGTTTATTCAGTTCTTAGCGTTAATTGCCTGCATTGGCTTTATATATACTCTTGTCACAAAGGTAATTTATTTATTTTGTTTTTTATCTCTCACCAACCATTACATATATTTGTTCTTCAAAGATATTGCGTGGTACAGACACGGTTAAGATTGTGGTCGAATCGTTGGACCTTATTACAATTGTGGTACCACCAGCATTACCGGCAGCCATGACCGTTGGCCGGTTTTATGCTCAAAAACGCTTAAAAGCTAACAACATATTTTGTATATCTCCGCGATCCATCAACGTGGCAGGCAGTATTGATTGCTGTTGTTTTGATAAGGTTTGAGGCAAATACTGTTATGAAAATGTACTTTTTTAAGATTATTTTTTGTTGTGCAGACTGGAACTTTGACAGAGGATGGTTTGGATATGTGGGGCGTTGTACCAAAGTCGTCGACGAATCAGTTTCAAATACCCCTTAAAGATGTTAAGCGATTACCATACGATCATTTTCTGTTTGGGATGGTCACGTGCCATTCAATTACTTTTATGAATGGTACAATGATGGGTGATCCCTTAGATCTTAAGATGTTTGAATCGACTGGTTGGTTACTTGAAGATTCAAATAATATACCTGAAAACGAGAAGTATGGACTGATCTATCCCACAATATTGCGGCAACCCACTCGAGACGAAACAAGGTTATCCCCAAAAGAGGGAATGCCAACAAGATCATCCGTATTGCGACAGAATTCTGTAGATGATCTATTGGCCAACGTTGGAATTTTGAAAGCTGAGAAAAATTTCGATCATGGAATTGTAAGAGAGTTCCCCTTTACATCCACCCTACAACGTATGTCAGTAATAACACGTTGTCTCAGCGCTCAAGGATTCAATGTATACTGCAAGGGTTCTCCTGAAATGCTGCAACAATTGTGTCTGCCACAGAGTATACCGAACGACTATACTCAACAACTATCAATTTTTGCAAAGAAAGGTTTCCGCGTTATTGCCATGGCATACAAGACCTTCAACCCAAAGATGAATTACACAAAGATACAGAGGCTTTCTCGTGAGGAGGTCGAGGTCAGTTTAGAATTTTTAGGCTTTGTGATTCTTGAAAATCGTCTTAAGCCTGATACATCAGCAGTTATAAACTCACTCAATCAGGCAAATATTCGCACAATTATGGTTACAGGTGATAATATATTAACTGCCATGAGTGTCGCTCGGGACTGTGGCATTGTGAGCGCTACGCAGGCAGTTATCACAGTCCATGCTGTACCCTTGCCAAAAGCCTTTGACAAATCGAATGCCGAAGAACATGTTTGTCAATATGAGCTTCAGTATACTCTTGAGCTGGGTAGTAAAGCGTGTTCACCTGCACTGAATGGTAATAGAGCATTTTCCGCTGGTGAAATCGTACTAAATATGGATCATCTCTCAAAATCAACTAATTCATTAGTAAATGGTGGCCTAAGTTGTAGCTCAAGTGTATTACCGAATAGCAATAGTTTGACAAGCGTAAAGACTATAGATACATGGACGCATAACGATATCGATGGCGATGATGTGGAGCTTGGAGCAGAAGCTGTCATACGTAATGATGCTAACTGGCGTCGTCAATATATATTTGCCATGGATGGCAAGACATGGCAAATTGTACAGAATCAATTTCCGCAGGAAATGGAAATCATTTTGACCCGCGGAGCAATTTATGCGCGTATGTCACCGGAACAAAAGCAATCTCTAGTGATGGAGCTTCAAAATTTGGATTATTATGTTGCGATGTGCGGAGATGGGGCAAACGACTGTGGTGCTTTAAAGGTAGCACATACGGGTATATCATTGAGTGATAGTGAATCATCAATTGCGTCGCCATTCACATCCCGTAATCCTACTATTGCAGCCGTACCAAATGTTGTAAAAGAAGGCCGCGCCGCTTTGGTTACATCATTTGGTATATTCAAATATATGGCCGCCTATTCGTTAGTACAGTTTATATCCGTAATGATACTATACTCGATCGATTCGAATTTAACAGATAAACAATATCTCTATATCGATCTTGGCTTAATATCGGTATTTGCATTCTTCTTTGGCAAAACAGAGGCCTATGATGGCCAACTGAATAAACAAGTGCCACTTAATTCACTCATATCGCCAACGCCTTTAACCTCTCTCGTGCTTCACCTAGTCGTAGTGGTGACATTTCAAGTAACTAGTAAGTAAAAATTTAATCTATATTAATTACAAAATCATAATTATTGAGTTTTTTGCAGCCTGGTTCCAGCTTCATAAGCAGTCTTGGTTCACACCTTTTCGGCCAGAGGGAGGAGACCATTTAGGTTGTTATGAGAATTACACGATGTTTGCAATATCCAGTTTTCAGTATATTATACTTGCATTTGTATTTTCAAAAGGAGCCCCATATCGAAAACCAATATGGTCTAACTGGCCATTATGTTTGGCTCTGATTTTAAACGCTTGCATTGTCGTTTATTTGGTTGTTTATCCAAGTGATTGGATAGCCAACTTTTTTCAAATTATTGTTCCACCTGATATGTCATTTCGGTACATTATGCTCCTATATGGAGCGGCAGCATTTATCTCTCATGTCTTTCTCGAGAATTTTGTGGTTGAGTATTTGGTATTTAAGCGATTCCAAGTACGACGTGAACAAAATGTAAACACATCAACGCGAAAATATATGCGATTGGAATATAATATCAAATCGTTTGATAACTGGCCTCCCATAACTGAAGTATGTGATCTGCACGATCCAACAGATCTAGTGGTTGAGGTACAGCCGACATATGTTAATTTAGGTGCAGAACAAAATGTAGACGCCCAGCACAATGCATTCCCTGGATTTTTTGAGACATCAGAAAATTGTGTAGATCACCGCAATCGCTTTTCGATCCTGAAATCTAATAGCTGAAGTTTAAAAATAAATAAGGTTACTCCACCAATCCTAATAGGATAAGAATAATAATAAGAAAAAGAATATAAGATATATTTATAACTTGCTTAATTTTGGCATCCAATTATATAAATGTGCATAAATATTTAATCTAAGATTAATTAATATAAATATTGTTACACTCTGCTAACTGTTGATCGCATCTAAGATATTGAGTTCTTATCAGATTAAACCGATTAATATATGTTTTCGTAATTTATACCGCCGACCATTAAGAATAGAACGTAATTGTTTATAAAATTTATTACAGTTTGTAATGTTATTAAGAAATTGCTGTACAATTCGTCATGTGATTGAGTGAAGTTTTTGCAGTGCATGTATTAATAGGAATACATATGCGATAATTATACCCTCCACATATATATACATATAAAGTAATATTTCCTTATAAGTTGCCATGGTAGGTAGCTTAAAATAATTATAAGTATTTATTATGTAGTGTATCTATGGAGTATAGGTAACTATGAAATATGTATTCAATAAAGGTTTTTTGTAAATCCAAAAATACTTAATAAAAAAAAATACTTTAATGTATGTTTATACTTACGACGAATGTAAGGCGTTATATATATATTTTTAGATACCGAGGAGCTGAGTTGATCTAGACCTGTCCGTCTGTATTCGCTCATATATGTATGTGAAGGCATCGATATCAAAACCTGTAAGGGTTAGAGACATATCTTTGAATAGCGCGCGCAGATCAAGTTTGTTTCAAATCAATCGGTAACTATTCTGGCTTTTGTATTGTCGATAAACTAAATAGAAAACCACTTGTTAAATTCAGTGTTTAAATAAAAAACTGCGAATAGTTTTCGCAGGTCTGTTATTGCTAGAACTGTTGCTGCGAGCATTTTCGCAGTCGGAGCTAGAGCAAAAACTGTCGACTGCCGAACAGCACAGCAGACAGCTTCCACAGTTTTTGCTTTGCTTTGTGCGACTGCGACTGCGACTGTCGCCAATGAGCGCAGTTCGAAGCGCTGCGCTGCTGATCAAGAATTGTTTTTTGCTTTTGCTGCGACTGCGACTGTCGCCAGTTCACGCATCAACAGTTCTAGCATTCTCAAAACTGCCGAAGCTGTCGATTCCCGAAGCGCTGCGCTGCTGATCAAGAAATGTTTTTGCTTTTGCTGCAACTGCGACTATCGAAAATGCTCGCAGCAACAGTTCAAGCAATAACAGAACTGCGAAAACTGTTGGCTGCAGAAGCACAGCACAGACAAAATTTTACGACTGTTGCTGCTGTGACTGTCAGCTTTTCAAACACTGGTTAAATTATATCTTGTATATAATAATATATTATACATATATAAATGATGCCCATCTACAAAGGAATTTATTCAACCAATATGTTGTGGGGATATAGCATGTATTTTTTGTAGTGCGTGCGAATTATTGGAATTGTAATTCTTTGAAGGGGATCGAAAAAGAAGTTATAAGAGCTAGAAACTTGAAATTTGGCATGCATACTCGTGTATGCCATACGCAGTAAAAGTTTATCATCATTTTTCGATATTTTATCCGATAATGTTTTCATTGAGAATAATCGAGAAATTGATTTGGGGTTTTCAGCCTAATTTGATCACTTTTAGACCTGGAGATTTCAGATTTACTGTGTATATACATTTGATGAATACAAAGATTTTGTAATTTACAGATTTTGGAATATGTAAGTAAGTATTTCCAGTAGTAGAGAATTGTTCTTTGGAATCTACATTGTACTCACATTTTAAACATATCAACACGCTCTGAAAGTTTCATTAAGATTGTCCGTCTAGAAAAGAAATTATTCAACAAGTAAATTTTCATATTGCCCACACTGCAGTGCAGTCGCTGCTAACTGCGCAGTTAGCAGAGCGAGTGTGGGTGCATGTGTTGTACACATATACATATATGTATGTATATGTTCAACACATGTATGTGCCTTTGTTTTTTTGTATGTGTATACAAAAGAAGTGCACATTGACTAGAATATCAGCTGGCAGGGTTCAGGATATCTCCATCCGAGCAATCTCGAATAGAGTCTTCTTGTTTTCTTATAAAAATTTTAAAGTTAACTGAAAGAAAGCAAATGTTACATAAAGGACAATATTTACAAGTAAGTATACTTAAATGGATGTATTCCAATATACATATGTACATATGTACATATGAAAAGTACATTTTGAATGCGGTTTAACTTACCTTAGAGGTCCGTGGCAAGCTTAAGGTGAGGGTATGCTGTTGGCATTCGCAGATCTGCTTAGTATATTCACATATATTCAGGTATCTTTTTTGCTCTCCCACAAAGCCAACTACGATAGAGACAACAAAAGACGCTGTCAAACATGATGTTGGTCAGTATCTCGTTTTTGGGCCCACCTGAACCAGCCAAACAGCTTTTGCGCTTACTCACTACGACAAATGCAGCAAAGCATGGACGCGACAAACGTCTTCACGAAGTTTCGGATTCGAGCTCGGGACTCGACTTTGTGGTTCGAGTTGGGCCATCAACTTGTGGCCTTTGCGTTGGCCTAGTCAGTTCTGTAGCTTTCGTCTGCATGGCATGATCGAGTGCGCATCAAAAAAGAGCGTAAAGATGTACGTATATTAAAAGTGACGTATGTGAGTGTTTAACCATATACGTATATATATGTAGATTCATCATTTATCATATATATGTGTATATTAGATCTCTTGGGACTGTTTGTCACATTAATAAGCTGAAAGTATTTTTAATCGAAATAAGTATGCACAACAATCCATACTTCATATACCAGTTAAGTGAAAATAGATTATATGTTTGCGTATGTGTATATGTTCATCTGTATACGTATGGGTGTATAAATGTGTATGTATTGAGATCAAATTCAGAGCTGAGTGCTGCGAAAATTTATGCAACATTAAAATTAGCATAACTATTCGTAAAAGAGAAATATTTATATTTAGGCTGACTTTACGGATTGTTAAAAGAGGAATGTTGTAGTCCTATGCAGATACCAGTTTTTCATTTGAAAAAAAAAAAAAAAAAAAATAATAATAATAATAATAAAACAAAAAATAAAAATAAAAATAAAATACAATTATACCAGTAAATTCATTGAAAAAAAAATGAACGGTTATTTTTGGTCATAGAATAGCGAGCCATAACAAACAAATAAGAAGAAAATTATAAAGTTAATGATCTACTTATATATTTTTCAAATTCAGATCTTGGATGAAATTCGATCGGGATCTATAACATTATATCGTCAGATATTTTTAAATATGAATGCATAAATGCACAAGTATATCATGTGCATAGATCCGGTATCTAATCGATTGAAGGAAGAACGAAATATGCGAGAATCCCTTTTGACCAGTGTTATATGTAATTTACGCTACCCATCTATTGAAAGCGGAAACGGATTCAGAAAAGGAAACTCTTCCGCTAGCTTTTGTCCGAGAGGTGAACGTGAGCATTATATTTTATCTCTAATGTCGAGGATATGCCCGAAATTGTGTCAATTAGTGTTGGTTATCGTACTGATGGCAGCACTTCCTTTCGGAGCTGCGCAATCATTTGGTAAGTAATTAGCATTGATATTATATCGAACTGACAATCTGAAATTAGGATTTTAATTATGTACATAAAGAGTACCTCTATGTGTATAGCTATTATTATCAATCTAAGCTAAATTATTGTTTTATCTGGCATCACATACGCGAAAATGTATCTAATAAAGAAGAAAAGATTGTTGTCATTCATCAATTGAAAATTGTTAATTCGTGGTTTGTTATTAAATGATGCTATCTACAGTTTAGCCAATATATTATAATCAATTTACAAAAGACTAGAGAAAGCGGCATTCGCCCACAATTAAATCTTGGGCAATATGATTTGACAATATGATAAATATAATACATATATATATATATATATATATTTTCCGATTGCGACCCATCTTTTCAATATAATATATGGTAATCTTATTTAAATTTTAATTAAAAGCTGTGGGGACACCCTATCGAGACTATTGATTAAATGGGAGGAAAATGTCATTGGACTTGTGGATGTAACACAGTGTTCATTCCACCACCCACCACTATCTACATCCTCTTTTACGTCCGCTTTACTGTTAAGGTAAATGTGTGATCAGTTAGTTTGTTGACTGGGCCAGTTAGCAGTTGCAATACTACATGTATACATAATACATATTTACTCTGATCGTAGCCGAGACTCGAGTCACAAGCTCCGCGAAACAAGAATAAAAGCTGCTTTCACAATGCAACAAAGAAAAAACAACTTTACAATACGAACGTACATAAAAAGCAAAAAGCACGACCATAGAGACATAGCTACATCATTATCGGCATTATCAATAAAGAAAGGCGGACTGGGACCGAACTAAAAGAAATGCTAAAATTTGGGTCAACGACGAATGAACAAGATGGGAAAAAAGTAAACGAAAAAGGCATTCAACTCATAATATTAAAATAGCATATTCTCTGAGACTTCCATAATTACTTCAATATAGTATTTTCGACTGGCGTTCCCATCAGCTGAATGTCTTTCTAATATTTTAATATCAAAAATTCAAAGTAAAATGAAATATCAGCAAAGCCAAAATATGCAAAATATATACTATATAATATACTATAAATTATAAATATATGGCTAACAACATATTTCTACGAGGTATGAACTTTGGGTCCAGCTTGCATCTACGCATACTCGTTTTGTAAACTTTCTTCTTGGCAGCGGCAACGGCAGATGTTGGGTCCAATTAAATTGGGTTGGGGGGACTGAATTCAAGGCTCGAAAGTGTTGAGTCACTCAAACCTGTCCTAAGTAACCAATATCTCCTTATGCTATGTGCCTGCAGGTGAAAATCAAGTAAGACGGGTCTACTCGAGATTGCTCGACTAGGAGATACTCTGAACCCTCGAAGCTGATATTCTACTCACTCTGCACTTCTTTTATGCACACATGCATACACACGCATCCACACGCACGTATAATCACGCGCTCTGTTTACTGCGCAGCTAGCAGCGACTGCGCTTGGGCTGCGGTGCAGTGTGGGCAATATTACGAAAATTTATTTGTTGAATAATTTTTCCTGTAGACGGACAATCTTAATGAATGAAGAGCGTAATCATATGGTAAAAATGTGTGTACATTCCAAAGCACAAGTCTCTAGTACTTGAAATGCGTTTTTACAAATTACGGGTGAAGGGGGCGTGTTTCGTATCGCTCAGCTGTATATACATAGTAAATCTGAAGTCTCTGGGTCTAACAGTGTTTAAATTAGGTAGAAAAGACAAAATAAATTTTTCGATTATTTTCGATAAAAAAATTGCGAGTAAGTCGGACGAGTTATCAAAAAAAATATGATAGACCTATACTGCGTATGGTATACACGAGTATGCATGCAAAATTTCAGCTTTCTAGCTCTTATATCTTCTGAGATCTAGGCGTTCATACAGACGGACAGGGCTATGTATATCGACACAGCTCGTCCTGATCCTGAATATAAAGTGGAATCCATTATAGCTACACTCAAGGGACCGACAATTTTACGTCGCTATACCCGGAGGACGCTTTAACCAGAAGGGCCAAAAAATTTGTTTATTTTTTTACGGTTTCCATGTTTGTAATAGGTTTTAACATAAAACCAGGGACCGTAACGGTTATAATTTTTATAGCAAAAAATTAAAAAATAAGAATTCTTTTTTGAGATATTAAAAAAAAAAAATTTTTAATCATAATAAATAATTAATATGATAAAAATCAAAAATAATTATTAGATATTAATTTTTATATAAACATCAAATCATAACTTTTATTTCCAATTTTTATAAAAAAAATTAAAAATAAGAGTTATGGCCACTTGGCGTAACTTTTATTATAAAAATTTAAAATATAAATTGAATTGAAATATCTCTTGAACTAAAGGAGCTAAATCATATATATATGATCTACGCATTAATACCTTTTATTATTTGATGTATAATACGTATGTAAATATGTACATGTATATGCACATTTACATACATATTTAATTATCTGCTAGGCTCTTGCCCATTACACTCGACCTGTGCACTTGTCAGTATCTATTCAGCAGGTAATGTGAGGAGGAGACAGATACAAATAAAGCATAATCACTGTATATATGTAAATACATTAGTAAAGAATATCCTAAAACTCTGAATTTTAGAAAAAATAACTAAACTAAGTAGGCCATTTGTCCCACTGTGCAACGGCAAGAGCCTAGCAGATAATTAAATATATGAGCATTCACATTTGCGTGACGTCGGCATCGCAGATTGTCTCTCTCTCTCTCTCTCGCTAAGACAGAGAGGTCTTAGCAGCATTTCTGTCGCTGCTATGCCCACAAGTGAGGGTACTGATCATTGATAGATACATATATATATATACATTTCGTAATAACCGTCGGGATAACGGATTGTCGTTAAAAGTGGAGACGTACTAAGTGGAGGCTTTTTCATATAAGTTTGTATGGGGACCAACCTAGATATCGAATTTTCGTCGACATAACCGGTTGGACGCTTTAAGCGGAGTCGTTATAGCCGGATGGGGTCTGCGGTGTCACATACTTTTCTGCCTGTTACATACTTTTCACAAAACCATTATACTCTAATTTCCCATTTTCAATGAGTTCAGGATATAATAACATGGGTCAGTCGAAGACACGAATAACCATTTAAAGATCTAATCTTTCCAAATTTACAGGCTTATGATATACTTCCACTTTAGTTGAGGTAGTCCGCCCTATGAATTAGTAACTGTGAAAACATCAAACATTATATATGTACATATATTGAACAGTTTTCGGTCTTGGAAAAAGTAGTTTTCAGTTTTCGCTTATTTTGCTGATTATTTATATATTTTTAATTTCAGATGAGCCGTACTTTATGAAACCAACACCAATTTTACGAGGGGCAGGTTCAGAAGGTAAGCAGTAAATTTGTAAAGAAAACTCAATGTGGATACATATTTGTGTATAACAATATAAAGATTATATGCCATGACAATTCACATTAATCGTACTGTTACTTAGTACATTTTAAATATACAGGCCTGTTTCGAATTTTATGTCAGAGGAGAAACGCGTGCATAAAACAAGCTCGAAACAGACTCACAAAATATACATACATATATATATATATATATACAACTAGTCGTCCCGGCGAACTTCGTACCGCCTAACAGTCTCTATATATATAAAAAAAAAGTCGAGTTTGTTACAAAACTTATAATTCGAGATCTGCTGCACCAATTTTCATGGTTTTTGATTTGTTGGATTTGTCTCCGCCCCGAATAGCATTATGTATTTTAAAAATACTGAAAAATTTGGGAATACTTGAAAAATACGTTATTTTCCCTAAAAGTTCTTTAATTTCGGAGCTGTCAAATTTTTGTATTAAAACCAGTAAGTAATGTCGTGTTACCTTTTAGCTGA